GTAGGATAAGCACTGGACTGCTAACCTACAGGTGGTTCAAACCTACCAGCCGTTCCTCAGAAACGTTAGTTTATACAGGATAGGTATGAGTCAGAACCGACTCAATAGCACTTTGCCACAACAACATTATGCTATACTACCCATCTTCTATTTAAAAGCTAAATAATTAAAAGGCAAAACAAACAAAAAATACCCACTGCTGTTGAGTCAATTCTGACTCAAAGGGTCCCTATTAGGACAGAATGGAACTGCCTCTGAGGGTTTCCAAGGTCACATCTGTATGGAAGCAGACAGTCGTTCTCCTGCAGGGCAGCTGGTGGGTTCTAAACACTGACCTTTCAGTTAACAGCCTTAAACAATCACCTAACCTCTGTGCTCTGAGGGCTCCTTTTAAAAGCTATAAAACAACAACAACAACAAACTCACTGCCATCAAGTCAACTGTGATTCATAATAACCCTGTGGGACCAAGAAATGCTCCCTAGGACTCCTGAGACTGTAAATCTGTAGGAGAAAAGACAGCTTAATTTTTCTCCCCTGCAGATCAGTTGATAGGTTTGAACTACTGACCTCTAATTAGCCCAACACTAAGCCCATGAAACCAACCAGGGCTCTGGTTAAAGGCTATGCTTATTGTTAAGTGCCGTTCAGTCAGTACTGACTCATAGCAACCCTGTACAGGATTTCCGAGGAATGGCTGGTGGGTTTGAACTGCCAACCTTGGGGTTAGCAGTTCAGTGCTGATCCTACAGCGCCACACCAGGACTCCTTTAAAAGTGATATTCACAATCAAACATAGTAAAAATTTAAGTTACAACTAAATACAATTTAACTAAAAATAAGCAGCGCTGCAATTTTTCTCCCCTCTACAACTCTTTTTAATTAACACACGCTCGGTGTTTAACATAAAATATTTAAATGTGTATGCAAGTTAGTGTTGCAGGAGAAAGATGAGGCTTTCTGCTCCTGCAAAAGATTTAAAGTCTCAGAAACCCTACACAGGGTTGCTATGAGTCAAAACTGACTCCAAGGCTCTTAACAACAACATACAATAAGTTAGTATATGCCTACTCCCCTTCAATGAGCCTTCTCTCATCTCATTAAGTAAGGAAGATTGAAGAATTGGTGCCTATAAATCATGGTGTTGGTGAAGAATACTGAATAAATACTTTGGATTGCCAGAAGAATGAACAAACTTATCTTGGAACTGGTACAACCAGAATGTTCCTTAGAAGCCAGGATGGTGAGATTTTGTCTCATGTAGTTTGGGCATGTTGTCAAGAGGGACCAAAACCCTAGAGAAGGACATCGTGCTTGGTATAGTAGATGTTTTTGTTAAGTGCCGTCGAGTAAGTTCTGGCCCAGAGCAACCCTGTATAGGGTTTCAAAGGAGCAGCCGGTGAGCTTGAACTGCTGACCTTGCAGCTCAAACCAACATTGCAGTCCAGCGCGTTAACCCACAGTGCCATACCAGGACTCCTGGTAAAGTAGAGGATCAAGGAAAAGGAGGAAAACCCTCAATAAGGTAGACTGGCACAGTGGCTGCAGCAATGGGTTCAGGCACGGCAACAATTGTGAGGATGGCGCAGATGCTGGCTGGTGGTGGTTTGTTCTGCTGTACGTAGGGTCTCCATGTTGAATCCTAATAGACTCCACCACTTCTAACAACAATACCAGCATGTCATACATTGTAACAGTGACTCAGCATTTGTTTCGCTATAGAATCAATAGTACTAATGTCCACACTTCATTAATAAATAAATGGAAGCCCCAGACATTAAGGACTAGATCCACAGATGACCTTGGAGTCAAAAGGGAGTTTCAAATTAACCACTTTGTTTAAGAAATGCTAAACTGAAAAACAAGAGTATAGAGATTAAAAACGATTACAGGTAACAGTCTCAGGTTCAAGATTCAAAATTGGACTCTAGATCAATGCTTTAGGAAGATTTCAAGTCTAAACAGGTAAAAAGGAAAGAAAGAAAAAAATATTTGAGGCTCTATGCCAAGTCAGACTAGAAACAGTTGTTACATTTAAATAAAGATGGAGATAAGAGTCTTCCTTGGCTTGGAACAGAGAATGAGAAAGCCTTTCTGACAAGCCATGAACAGTTTTGCAACCTGGGACTTGTTGTTGTTAGGTGCCATCAAGGTGGTACCGACTCACAGCGACCCTATACACAACAGAATGAAACACTGCCCAGTCCTGGGCCAAGCTCACAATTGTTGCCATGCCTGACTTAAAAGTATAAAAATTTCAAGGAGTTAAAATGCTATAAATTGGGTGGTCTCTCAGATTTCCTGTACATTTGACCATGTCCCTAATGAAATGGTGAAAAAAAGAAAAAGCTAAAAGAGGGAATCCTGGACCATGAAATTCAGCAGCTGTTCAAGTCCTAAGACAGGATAAAAGCAGATTCCTTCTACAGATGTCAAAATAAAATAACTGAAGCAGCCAACAGATGCTGAATAGTAATCTTGAGCTCTGAATTGTTGTTGTTGTTGTTAAGTGCTGTAGAGTTGGTTCCGACCCATAGCAACACTGTCTAGGATTTCCAAGGAGCAGCTGGTGAGCTTGAACTGCCAACCTTGCAGTTCAGAAGCCTTTGTAGTCTGACGCATTAACCCACAGCGCCACACCAAGGCTCCGAATATATCTTATTATATACAGTGAAGCTCTAAGGTAGATCAGATCATTGTTTCTATTTTCAGAAAACAAAACAAAACAAAAATGGTTGCTGTTGAGTCAATTCCCTTTCTTTCATTGTTGTTGTTGTTGTTAAGTGCCGTCGAGTCGATTCCGACCCATAGCGACCCTGTACAGGGTTTCCGAAGGTGTATAAGTGACTCTATAAGACAGAACCGAACTGCTTCGAAGGGTTTTCAGAAGCATATGGCCTGTCCTGTTTTCCAAGGCAGCAATCTTTGTGGAAGCGCAGCAACCGGAGGATTCAAACCATCCACTTTTTTGTTAGCAGCCGAATGCTCAACCACGGCGCCATCAGGGCACCTGTGAATCTGAAAGAGGTTTAGAAATGGGCCTAAGGTCACACAGCCAGCAAGGGACAGAACAGGGATTCGAACTCAGGGTTTACTCAAACATAGTCTCTATTCTACATAGATCCTGACATCCTTTCAAATCCAAAAGTCATTGTGACCACAGAGACCAACAAGAATTCTCTATACAGACTAACAGAAAAATGTGAAAGCAATGGACCATGATTAAGACCAGGGGCTCTGGGTTCAAGTCCTGACTCTGCCACTTAATAGTCCTATCACACAAGCCCCTAGTATTTTCATTCATGCAAAAACCAAAATACCCACCGTCATCAAGTTTCTCAATTTCGACTCATAGCCACCCTAGAACTGTTCCTTAGGGTTTCCAAGACTGTTCATCTTTACAGAACCAGATTACCACATCTTTCTCCCGCATTTGTTATGTCAACAGCCAAGCCCTTTAACGTGTGAGGGGGCTTCGTTCTCACATGTTCAAGGGAATTCATAACACTCATCTCAGAAGGTGGTTATAGGGATTCAATGAGATGATGCATTTCTTAGCGCAGGATGAGTACAAGTCCATGCTGGCTGTCAGTTGCCTTCACCATCCGGATTCATGGTGACTCCATGTGTCCAGAGCAAAATGCTCTAGAGTGTTTTCAAAGCCAATAACTTGTTTTGTTTTCCAAGGTGTCTCTTGGTGGGTTTGAATTGCCAACCTTCCTATAATAGTTGAACACTTAATTCTTCATGCTGCCCAGGGACTCTGGTACATGATTTATAAACAAAAGGGAACAGAACCTCCCAGCCCTGATGCGAGTCAGAGCACCAAAGCTAAAGGATGTTGAAAGGATGAAACGGGGAAGAAGGACCCAGACTAAATAGAAAGGAGACACCAGGCGTGAGGTGGTCAGTCCTGGGCCATGCATCGGGTGAAGAACTAAAACACATGACTATGCTTTCTAATTGAACCTATCAGAAGCAGAATAGAGCTGAGCCATTCTAGGAAGATTTTCTGAAATTTTCATTGAAGCACACACATACATACACACACACACACAATTTTCTATCAGGTGAAAACCGAGAAAGGGCACAATCACAATACTTTGTTATAGGTGAGAGCAGGGAGCACAGGCTCCGTGAGGAGGGCAGGAGGCCCTTTCCCAGCCTGATAGGAGACACGGTGCTAGGACAAGCAATGCAAGGGCGTGGGCAGTGGGCAGCCCGCTGGGTTTACAGAGATGACTCGTGACCCTAATGCCCCCCAGGCTGCCTCTGCGCAGGTAGGGCAGGAGTTTCAACTGTTGCGTCCTTTGAATTCAAAAGGAAAATCCTTCATTTCGTTGGCAACATTGTTGGTACCAAAAAACCCTAGAAAGGATTACCAAATAGAGCAGGTCTGTTTCGGAAATGCATTCTAGGATTGGACCCAAATCAAAGACTTGAAAGGAGTCAGGGGAGAAAACACAAGTGCGGACAGGGTTAACCTCCGTTTCTGCTTTACCCACCTCCCCAGACCCCCGGAGAAAGGCGGGGGAAAAAAACGCTGGGGATTTCAGATGGGTCTAGATCCCCACAGTGGAGGAAAAGCAAGGCTGAAAACCAGCGGACACTCCCCCCTTTCCAGGGACGTGGGTGTTATCAAAGGACGGTCCTATGGCTTACGCGCCCTGGCGCTTCCCGGCTTCGAAAGGACTCTCCTTCAACTGCCACGGGAAAGATCCTACTTTCCCGGACCAGTTGCGAGCTAGCATATCCCAGTGTTCAGCCCAGGCTCCCAGTTTAGCATATCTAGCGATTACCGGAGCCTCCCCGCACAGCCTAGCCTGAAGGGTCCCCCTTTTGTTCGCGGGGAGAGCGCGTCGCTGCGCAGCGCTGCGCATCCCCCCATCTCAAAAAAAGCGCCTTTGCGGGGGTGCTTCCTTTGCTCTGCTTCCTGTGACCCTCCGGCGACCACCTTCCCGGCTCACGGCTCCCCAACTGTCCTTCCGCTCGAGTACTCACTTCTCCCCAGACCCTCCGCTTTCCACGCCGTCTCCTCCACCGCCCCATAGCGCCTCAGTGGTTTCTCAGCTTCCAGATGGGTGGACAAAGATTGCTTTAACTCCATCGCTGATCCTCGCAGGAAGGTCGACAGATCTCCCTTTACTCCATGCCCACCTCGGGATGCAGGGAGGGAAGCGGCGCCAGTCGGCAGCGTTTTAAGGGGCCGGGCGCTTGTGACGCTGCTCCATCTCTTCCGCCAGCAGGGCCTGGGAGGTCTGACTGGTACCTAGGAGGGGGAAGGATGCAGGGCACATGCGCAATGGAGGACTGGGAAAGGCTTGGGGGCTGGGTAGGGCGAAAGAGGGGCAGATGATAACTCTAAGAAGTACAACAACAACAACAACAACTAAAATTAAATCAACCGAAAGGGCGTTAAGAACAAGGCCGCTGCCCAAACGAGCGAATGGACTGGGGTTTGTGCTGTTGGGTGTTAACATGGGGCGGGTACTGCGGGTGGCTTGTAATCTGTCAGTGGCTGCTAGGCTGTGTGTGGGATTTGTGAGTGTGTTTCTCTGCCTGTGGGCGATGGATCCATCTTTATGGGGAGTATGCAGAAGCGTGAGTGTGGAATCGCATCTGTGGGTTCTGTGTTTGCCTGGATGCCTTTTGTGAGATCTGTGGTCTGTGAATTTCATATCTGTGGTTGTGAAATGCCACAGTCCTGACTGTGGATGCCTCTACCGACTCTCTATGGGTTTGCATGAACTGGAAAGAGTGATTAACATATTTTGACTGCAAGTAAAACACAGCTATTTGGAACATGGGCCTTCACTTTCCAGAAACTCAGAGTTTTAGCCTCTTCATGGCAACATTAAAAGTATAAAGAAAACTGCTAGGTAAAATCAGCACCAAGATGCATTTTTATTATTATTATTATTAAAGTAGTTAGATTTATTAAATAACTGGGTGCTAACCTAGGTTCCCAACAACTCAATGGAACAGATACTTGGTTTTGTTTAGCTTTGAACTTTTTACTGTAAATTGGGTGACGGTTAACAGAGAAGATCATCAGTTTTACATTTAACGATTCATACATATTTTTGTTTCGTCTCATTGATTGCAATCTGCTTAATGTAACATCACTTTTCCCATTTTCTCCCTATGTTTTCTGTTTCCATTTTTCCTTATTTCCTAACCCTTCTGAATTTGGGCCTTGGGTAACTACTGCCCTTTTGATCTCAAATAATTGATTACTCTAAAGTGTGTGTATCACACTTGCGTTTAGACCTATTGTTTGGCTGAAAACTGAGGCATGGTGGTGAGGTCATTCAAAACCTGAAGGGGTAACCAAGTCCACAGTCTCCAAGTTCTACCAGTCTCTGTTGGACCAGTAAGCCCAGTCTTTTTTCCTATGATTTTGGAGTTTTTTCAACATTTTTCTCCCACGCTGTCTAAGACCTTCAAATGTAATACGTTTCAGAGTCATTGGGCACCATCTAGTTCTTCTGGCCTCAGGGTCCTGAAGATTGATGTCCATCTGGTCCATTAGTCTATTGGACTGATTGATTCCATATGTCTTTGCTTTTCCTCACTCTTCTTTCCTCTAGAGAGGGAGAGGCCAATAGTTGCACTGTAGATGGCTGCTAGGGGTCTTCCTCTTTTTGTCTGATCCTCCACCTTACCAAACATGATATCCTTTTCAAGTCAGTTGCTGTGATTCTGAAAGCTATACCACCGGTATTTTAAATACCAGCAGGGTCCCCCATGGTGGACAGGTTTCAGATGAGCTTCCAGACGAAGACAGACAAAGAAGGAGTGACGAACTACTTCCAAATATTCAGTCACTGAAAACCTTTATGAATAGCAGAGAGACACTGCCAGGTATGGTGCCAGAAAATGAGCCCCTCAGGTTGGAAGGCACTCAAAATGCGACTGGGGAAGAGCTGCCTCCTTAAAGTAGAGTTGACCGTGAGGACATGAATGGAGTAAAGCCTTTGGTAGAAAAGCCCATAGGACCTTCATTTGCTGATGGGGCACAATTCAAAATGAAGAGAAACAGCTGTAAACATCCATTAATAATCGGAACATGGGATGTATGAAGTATGAATCTAGGAAAATTTGAAATCGTAAAAAATGAAATGGAACGCATAAACATTGATATCTTAGGCATTAGTGAGCTGAAATGGACTGGTATTGGCCATTTTGAATCTGACAACCACAAGGTTTACTATGCCGGGAATGACAAATTGAAGAGGAATGGTGTTGCATTCATTGTTAAAAAGAACATATCCAGATCAGTCATAAAGAACACTGCTGTCTTGATAGGATAATATGCATGTGCTACAGGGAAGACCAGTTAATACCACTATTATTCAAATTTACGCACCAACCACTAAAGCCAGTGAGGATGAAATAGAAGAATTCTACCAACTTCTTTGATCTGAAATTGATCAAACATGCAATCAAGATGTATTCATCATTACTGGTGATTGGAATGCAAAGGCTGGGAACAAACAGAAAGGATCAGTAGTTGGAAAATATGGCCTTCGTGATAGAAATGATGCTGCAGATCGCATGATAGGATTCTGAACAATCAATGATTTATTCATTTCAAATACCTTCTTTAGACAGCATAAGAGACGATTATACACATAGACCTCACCAGATGGAATACAAAGAAGTCAAACTGTCTCTCATACTTTGGACATACTGTCAGGAGGTACCAGCCACTAGAGAAGGATATGTTTGGTAAAGTGGAGGGTCAGAGAAAAAGAGGAAGACTCCCAGCGAGATGGATTGGCACAGTGGCAGCAGCAATGGGCTCAAATGTGGCAATGATTGTGAGGTTGGCCCAGGATTGGACAGTGTTGCATACAGTCGCTATGAGTCAGTACCAACTTGATGGCACCCAACAACAACTTAATCCTTTTATTGGTTCATCACAACAAATCTTGGGAGATCATCACATAACTGCAACATTACATCATTACATAATGCCAAACCGCTGAGAATCATGGTCTAGCCACGCTGGCATATTTTGTGGTGGGGTGGTGGGGGGAGATACCATTCAATTCATAACATATAGTAAGTGGAGGGATTGCTGGATCATACAGTATTTCCATTTCCAACTTTCTGAGGAAGCACCATACCATTTTTCTTAGTGGTTGCACCATTTTACAGTTCCACCAGCAGTGTAGGAGGGTTCGAGTCTCTCCCTACCCTCACCAGCATTTGTTGTTTTCTGTTGTTGTTGTTGTTGTTTTACTTTGCTATTACTGCTTGAGTAAATGACATCTCGTTGTTATGATTTGCATTTATCAAATGGTTAATGAAGGCAAGCATTTCTTCATGTGTTTATTGGCCATCTGAATGTCTTTGGTGAAGTGTCTGTTTATGTCCTCTGCCCATTTTTTAATTGGCTTATTTGTCTTTTTCTTGTTGAGGTGATGAAGTTTTCTATAACTTTTAAAGATTAATCCCGTGTCCAATATGTCATTGCCAAATTGTTTTCCCAGTCTATGGGTTCTCTTTTTAGTCTTCTGGTGGAATCTTTTGGTGCACATAAATGCTTAATTTTTATAAGGCCCCAGTCATCTAGTTTGTCTTCTGCTTTTTGTGTTTTCAGTCATATCAAAAGCCTTAGTTTTGGAATGTTCTTTCTCACTATGGAGTCCTAGTGTGGCGCTGTGGGCTAATGTGTCTGACTGCAAAGTCATTTGAACTGCAAGGTTGGTGGTTCAAGCTCACCAGCTGTTCCTTGGAAACTCCATACATGATTGCAATGGGTCGAAGTCAACGTGACAGAACTTAACAACAACAACAAAACTCTGATAACGTAGTGAATACGAGTTGGGCTGCTAACCTCAAAGTCAGTAGTTCGAAACAAGCAGTCATTCTGTGAGAGAAAGATGAGACTTTCTGCCCCCGTAAAGATTTACAGTCTCGGAAAACCTATACAGGGTCACTATGAGTCAGAACCAACTCCACGGCACATAACCCACCAATCAGCCAACCAAAATGTAACCAAAATCACTGAACTGTACATGTAGAAATGTTGAATTGATGTATGTTTTGTTGTGTATATTCTCAACAACAAGAAAAATAGATTAAATATGTTAAAAAGAATGGACTTCTAAATAGCTCATGGGGAAAAGGAATAGCAAAAGGAAATCATAAAATATTTAGACCTGGATAACAATGAACTCGTCACATATCAAAATTTGTAAGTTTTAATATAAGTAAATCTATATAGCCTTAGATAGGTGTTCTAGTGCAGCACAGTTGGTTTGAACACAAGGTTGGTGGCTCAAATGCATCAGCCACTCCTTGGGAACCCTGTATAGAGCCACTTTGGGTCAGAACTGACTCGATGGCACTTAACAACAACAACAGCCTTAGATGCATTGACTAAAAAAGATTAAGAATAAATTAGTTAAACTCTAGAAGGTCCTGGATAGAGTGGGAGAAAATGTAGTACAAAACTCAAAATTATATATGAAAAAAGACTGGGCTTACTAGTCAGATAAAGACTGATAGGACACCAAGACCATGGCTCCTGGTTATCCTTCACGTCTAGAACTGGCTCAGTTTTCAGTTAAGCAATAGATAGGTATGTAGTGAAGGACAAAAGCACTGTGAGGTACACATAGCATAGAATGATCAACCATTCAGTATCAAAAGGGCAGCATTTACCCAAGGACAAAATTCAGAAGAATTGGGAAAGAAGGAGGAATAGAAATAAAAACCCCAAGGAAGGAGTGGAAAGTGTGATGTTACATGGAGAGGACCTGCCATCATTGAGATGAAACCAATTGTGGGACATAAAGCTGTGATCTGTGCGGTAAACCTTCACTCAATTCACAACAAAAAGAAAAGAAGGAAGGAATTAAGCATTCAACTCTGAGAAAAAAAGAACAACAGATAAAACCTAAGCGAAGTAGAAAAAGGAAATAGTAAAGATAAATTATTTAAATAGAAAGCCAGTAAGTAATAGAGAGGATCAAGAAAACCAAAAACTGGTTCCTTTCGGAGTGGTGGAGTCCTAATCAAGAAAGCGAACCTCTCAAATCCAACAAAATAGGCAGCACACAGAAGTATTATTAGGAATGAAACGGAGCCATAATACAAGCACAGTAGGATTTTTAAATTTTTGAAATGGAAACTTGTCTTAAAAAACCAAACTATCAAAATGTATTTAATAAATAGGAAAACCAAATCAATAACTATCAACAGAAGTTGAATTGGTAATATATGCATTTCTTTCTTTCTTCGGTTCCAAAAGGCAATAGGCCCACACAGTTTTATAG